GGCATGTGGCGCTGGGGGATTGAACCGCAGCCCCTGATGCTTTTTTGCTAAGCTTGTTCTAAATAGGTGCTTTAGACCACTGAGCCATCTCTCCAGCCCTCCAGGCTTTTTTTTTCTTTGTCCTTAATACTTTATTGGTCACCTACAGTCCTATGTCAATGGGGTGGGCTCCACGGAAGGGTCTCGTCGCCAGATCCCAAGGGAGGTAGAGAAAGTCTTGGCCAATGCCTCCAGCCTCTGCCCAGGCAGTGGAGATCGGAGGGGCAGATCCACTCTTTCTGGATCCACCTTTTCTGGGCCAGCGCAGCCAGCCAGGTGGAGGTACAGGTGGGATCCAAGGACACACACTCAGGCCCCAGCTCCCCATCTGCCAGCCTAATTGTGTTTGGAGAAGTGTTCCTTGCTGTCGTCCACGGTGGGCTTGATTGTATCACTGCCAGGTTTCCAGCCGGCAGGACAGACTTCCCCGTGTTCATGTGTGTCCTAGAAGGCCTGGACCAGCCCTAGAGCTTCATCCACAGAGCGCCCCACGGCAAATCACTCACGGTGATCTGTGGCAGGACACCCTTGCCATCGATGATGAAGCGGCTCCTGTAGGCAATGCCCCCGTCCCTCCTCACACTCCATATTTATCATATGGTCACATCGGCAAGCGGGGGCGTGTTCAGGGGGCCCAAGCCTCCCTCCTTCCGGGGGGTGTTGATCCAAGCCAGGTGGGTGAACTGGGAGTCCACAGAGGCCCCCCAAACCTCGCAGCCTAGCTTTCGGAAATCCTCAGCGCACTCGCTGAACGCAGTGACCTCTGTGGGGCACACGAACGTGAAGTCCACGGGTAGAAGAAGAGGACCACGCACGTCCCTCTGAAGTCCCAGAGCGTGACCTCCTCGAAGGCACCATCCACCGCAGCGGTGACCGTGAAGTCCGGGGCCGGCTTCTGGTGTGTGCAATGCCGGATGCTGTGGCTGCGTGGGTGAAAGCCGACCCGGCAGGCAGGCGAGTACAGGTAAGACTGAAAGTCACAGCTCCCCTCATCTCCAGGTGTGTGAAAACCACAGCAAAACACTCTGTCCTTGGAGGCAGGGTCCGGTCCCAGACAAAGCGCTGCCTTTAACTCTAGCTCTGCCGCTCCCTCTAGCGGCGGGATGCAGCGAAAGTTCGCAGCCTGTCTGATAACCCAGCCGGTTGGTGAATGGAGCTAAGGTCGCTACCTCTCTATGTGGCAGCTCCGATAGGAAAGTGAGACTGTGTTCCAAGCCCTCCCGCTGTGCATAGAGGGACTAAGCAAATGGTGGCCGCCACTGCTGCGACAAGGGGTGGGTGTGTCACGGAGAGAGGCTTGCGCTCAGGACTTGGCTTCTGAGCTTCTTGCAGATCTGTAAGAGAGGCGTAGCTCTCCTCTCCCGGCCTCGTGGAAGTGGCCACGTGAGCGGCCTCGCAGCTGCAGGGGGAGGAGTCTGTCCTGCTTCGTGTGTGGGTTCGGCACACTTACGGGGTGCCCAGTTATGTTCAACTCATAT